TGGAGACGAGAGTATCTTTATAACGGCCATTTTTATACCAGTGTCTCATTCCGCATTAAACATTTTTTTTTTTGCAAAACCGCAAGTATTTTCATATTTTGACAGTCCATTAAAGATCGACAGACATCTGGTCAGTCGAGGCGGAGCAAGAAAAAAAGATAGACAAGATCGCAAGCAAATAAGATTGGGTTGACTTCATTATTAAGCCGCCTATATCCGAGGTAGGAGGAATTTATCTGTCCGTTATACGTGGTAGACAGTTTAAAATGGATCAACTCGAGAAATTAATTAAAGAAAAAACGCGCTTCGATAAGAGCTAGTGTGACGAAGTAATGTCGATAGTCTAGTTGAAAGCGACGATAGAGAGACAGAAACTCTTCTAGAAATACTGGATCAGTTGAGTCGAAAGGAAGAGTCATTGAGGACCTCAAACGGGGAAATTGAGGGTTTCATTATTAGCCTAACTGATTATGATACTGATATAGTCAATAGTGAAGAATATGAGGACAAGTTGTAAATATAACATCCAGTCTAGTATTAAACGATTAGAAGCAGATTCGTCCGTGGTCATGGCGACTCAGGGTCCCGTAGTTCGAAATAACTCCGCTAATATTAAATTGCCGGAGATTTCCCTACCGAAATTCTCTGGAAGATATGCAGAATGGAGTAACTTTAAAATGCAATTTGATAATATCATTTCGTCAAGAGAGCAACTATATAGGCAGAATAGAAACTAAATTATTTGAAGGCTGCTCTCAGAGGGGAAGCTGGGAGTTTAGAAACGTTAAACGAGTCGTTTGCCTCATTGTTTCAAACGCCACAAGAAAGGTACAAAAATCCAAATTTAAAAATTATTTTTAAATTTGGAGACGACATGATGCAGTTATTGAAAAATCAAGTTGTCGACTTCGTTTCCTGCTATCTACCACGTTTCTATCTGAGCGCATGTTACATCTTTCCGAAGTATCCAATCAAGAAACGTGTAAGGAAATTTTCTAGCAACGCTAGTGTCGAGATTATCGAATTCACTGATTTCGTTTTTAATATCTCGGGATTTAGTAATCCTTCGCTGAAATTTGTTGGTGAAATTTTCGCATCAGTAATCTCGGTATTAATATAATCACTGGATTTACGAATACCACGATTAGGCAGTGTTGGTAAAACACCCCGTCAGTGTTTCCGCGAAACTTTTACGTAGCTCAATTGCTGAAATGAGCGATTTTCGACAAGCACGTCTTGCAGAAAATTCAAATACATGTGGCTCGAGTCGGCAAATTGCTCGTATGAAATTTAAGCGTGATTTACACTGAACGCGTAACATAACAAAGCGAAGAAAGCTATGGACCAAACGTGAGCGTATGTAATCTCGCCAAGTCAGTTAAAAATTTTCATGTCAGCAATGAGAGTACGCGACAGCTAGAACCCATTGGTAAGGGTGAGTCAATGAAATTTATTGCTCCATCGTTACAATGGCAGGCTCTCTCAACCTCAGACTAGTAGTGTCTTGCCCCTGTACATCATACTTTTCCTATAACAATAGAGCCGTGCCGATCATCTCTGCTGGTATATAATTAAAAACTCTGGTTTACTGCGAAAGTCGTGCGCATTCACCTAAACAGCCTTTCCAAAGACGACACTGCGTGTCCAAATAAATAGCCTGCAGGTCAAATGATGAGGGATTTATCGTTATGTCGAAAAGCAAACAAAAATAAAAACAAAGTCTGTAGTGAAATCTGTTTACGACGTTCGTAATCTGCAAAATAAAACGACTGGCTCGTGTGGGGGTCGAACCCACAGCCTTCGCGTAATCGACTGAGCTAACGAGCCGACAAAGTTAAGTTTTTTGCCATTTTATAATGATTAAAAATATAAAAAGTTTTTCTGAATAAAATATCATAACGGATGGCACCACACGCAGTTTTAAATTTCGCCAGGAACGTTAAGCGACTGGTTGCTGGATTTTTTTTGAAATATTCTTTACAATTGGACTTTTTACACAAACGTTTTTAAATGTGTTCAATGACGTAAATTTATCATTGAAATTTTATAATATAAAACTGTACAGCAATTACAAAAGAATCAACACATTTTCCAAACTGCAAATAAGTGCAAATGCATTTTAATCATCCGGGATCATACCGATTGCTGCGATTGAGAATTTCTATAAAAGGATCACTTACAATCTTTATCTCTGAAGAGATAAATATTAACGGAAACATAATAAATAAACATTCCAATATTCTTAATGGAAAATTCTATAATCTGTATGATTGTGCAAAAGATTTAATGTCATTATCCATATCGAACAAGAATAAAATGCCATTTTATAATATTACCATTTCGTAACGTTATAGATATTAATAGTATAACATATTTTAGAAGACTTTCTATTAAATTGAATGTACAGTACAGTACATGCATGCAATTGCTAGTAAGTGTTTGGAATTATTCCAGCAATATTTTCAGTAAAATCTATTATCGCGGACTCTTTTTAAGCAGAAACAACGCAGACGGAATAATACACGTATAAGGACGAAATTTAGCAGATTTATTTTAAATTAACTTTTTAGTATCCGTTAATATCAGTGAATTTGGTTAATTGATAAAACGAAGAAAGGTTAGTACACCAAACAATGTCTCACGAACACAAGCAGTTATGTTTGGATTATATTTTAGCCCCAATTGTGAATTCTGCTAAAGTATCAGGAATGGATTTCTGTATTCGATGTAAGTGCATGTCTACAGAAGAAAACTCGCAGAAACACAATTATCTTTCGGCATTGTTCGCAATATACAGCGGTGCCATCGAATTATTTCTCTGGATAATGGTATTACTTCACTTAATAAGCTTATACGACACGAATTTATACGGTTTGCGGGTAATTCATATGTTCAACGATCATGCTTTACCAGCAGCAATTTTCATGGCTTTTCTGTCTATTTACACAGCCGTTCAGTTTAGTGCTTTGAAAAGGAGCAAGATTTCACTTCATTGCGTCATTAGTAGTTACGAAGGAGAATGGAAATTAACTGACCGCATACAAGTATTTGTGTTCATATGTCTTTGTGTTTTATTTTTCATGTTACTGTTGTTAAATATAGTGATTACTATTGCTTTTTATAGAACAATAAAGCAACTAAATGGTACAGATACGGAAGCCTTCATTTGTGTTTTCATGTATTTAGTTTGGGTTTTATATATTGCAGGACAGAACGCATCGCTTCTATTAATATGCGTGATATTACTTATGACTGTAGATAGAAGATTGATAAATCTGTCATTAGAACTACTGAAATTAAACACGAGACAGCGTGTTACGTCTTTCCGAAGTATCCAATTAAGAAACGTGTAAGGAAATTTTCTAGCAACGCTAGTGTCGAGATTATCGAATTCACTGATTTCGTTTTTAATATCTCGGGATTTAGTAATCCTTCGCTGAAATTTGTTGGTGAAATTTTCGCGTCAGTAATCTCGGTATTAATATAATCACTGGATTTACGAATACCACGATTAGGCAGTGTTGGTAAAACACCCCGTCAGTGTTTCCGCGAAACTTTTACGTAGCTCAATTGCTGAAATGAGCGATTTTCGACAAGCACGTCTTGCACAAAATTCAAATACATGTGGCTCGAGTCGGCAAATTGCTCGTATGAAATTTAAGCGTGATTTACACTGAACGCGTAACATAACAAAGCGAAGAAAGCTATGGACCAAACGTGAGCGTATGTAATCTCGCCAAGTCAGTTAAAAATTTTCATGTCAGCAATGAGAGTACGCGACAGCTAGAACCCATTGGTAAGGGTGAGTCAATGAAATTTATTGCTCCATCGTTACAATGGCAGGCTCTCTCAACCTCAGACTAGTAGTGTCTTGCCCCTGTACATCATACTTTTCCTATAACAATAGAGCCGTGCCGATCATCTCTGCTGGTATATAATTAAAAACTCTGGTTTACTGCGAAAGTCGTGCGCATTCACCTAAACAGCCTTTCCAAAGACGACACTGCGTGTCCAAATAAATAGCCTGCAGGTCAAATGATGAGGGATTTATCGTTATGTCGAAAAGCAAACAAAAATAAAAACAAAGTCTGTAGTGAAATCTGTTTACGACGTTCGTAATCTGCAAAATAAAACGACTGGCTCGTGTGGGGGTCGAACCCACAGCCTTCGCGTAATCGACTGAGCTAACGAGCCGACAAAGTTAAGTTTTTTGCCATTTTATAATGATTAAAAATATAAAAAGTTTTTCTGAATAAAATATCATAACGGATGGCACCACACGCAGTTTTAAATTTCGCCAGGAACGTTAAGCGACTGGTTGCTGGATTTTTTTTGAAATATTCTTTACAATTGGACTTTTTACACAAACGTTTTTAAATGTGTTCAATGACGTAAATTCGTGATTGAAATTTTATAATATAAAACTGTACAGCAATTACAAAAGAATCAACACATTTTCCAAACTGCAAATAAGTGCAAATGCATTTTAATCATCCGGGATCATACCGATTGCTGCGATTGAGAATTTCTATAAAAGGATCACTTACAATCTTTATCTCTGAAGAGATAAATATTAACGGAAACATAATAAATAAACATTCCAATATTCTTAATGGAAAATTCTATAATCTGTATGATTGTGCAAAAGATTTAATGTCATTATCCATATCGAACAAGAATAAAATGCCATTTTATAATATTACCATTTCGTAACGTTATAGATATTAATAGTATAACATATTTTAGAAGACTTTCTATTAAATTGAATGTACAGTACAGTACATGCATGCAATTGCTAGTAAGTGTTTGGAATTATTCCAGCAATATTTTCAGTAAAATCTATTATCGCGGACTCTTTTTAAGCAGAAACAACGCAGACGGAATAATACACGTATAAGGACGAAATTTAGCAGATTTATTTTAAATTAACTTTTTAGTATCCGTTAATATCAGTGAATTTGGTTAATTGATAAAACGAAGAAAGGTTAGTACACCAAACAATGTCTCACGAACACAAGCAGTTATGTTTGGATTATATTTTAGCCCCAATTGTGAATTCTGCTAAAGTATCAGGAATGGATTTCTGTATTCGATGTAAGTGCATGTCTACAGAAGAAAACTCGCAGAAACACAATTATCTTTCGGCATTGTTCGCAATATACAGCGGTGCCATCGAATTATTTCTCTGGATAATGGTATTACTTCACTTAATAAGCTTATACGACACGAATTTATACGGTTTGCGGGTAATTCATATGTTCAACGATCATGCTTTACCAGCAGCAATTTTCATGGCTTTTCTGTCTATTTACACAGCCGTTCAGTTTAGTGCTTTGAAAAGGAGCAAGATTTCACTTCATTGCGTCATTAGTAGTTACGAAGGAGAATGGAAATTAACTGACCGCATACAAGTATTTGTGATCAAATGTCTTTGTGTTTTATTTTTCATGTTACAGTTGTTAAATATAGTGATTACTATTGCTTTTTATAGAACAATAAAGCAACTAAATGGTACAGATACGGAAGCCTTCATTTGTGTTTTCATGTATTTAGTTTGGTTTTTATATATTGCAGGACAGAACGCATCGCTTCTATTAATATGCGTGATATTACTTATGACTGTAGATAGAAGATTGATAAATCTGTCATTAGAACTACTGAAATTAAACACGAGACATTTGTCCTTGTTAGAACTGAATGAAAGAACAAATACAATTAATACGCTGATGTGGAAACATCAAGAACTTTGGGAGTTCGCCGAAATGATTAGCGAGAGATGGAATATATTTCTACCGTTTGTCTACGCTTATTTTCTGCATGGTACGTGTTTCCTTCTGTATGCCGCATTATTTACGAAGATGGAACTGATACTGAAGATTTATGTTACAATCCTTTCTGCCTTCGTTCTTTCATTAGTCATTGTAATTAGTTGGGTTTTATCTTACTGCACGAAATTGGTAAGTATTCAATATTCGCTGGATATCGATGTAAAATAATTTATAAGCTAACAATTGTTTTGCAAATCTTTGAAAAATGCATACCCCTATAGCATCGATTATCTTAGGCAGAAAATAAAATCTGTTATACATCATTATTTTGCATTTTAGTTTAATAATTGATATATCTTTTAGTGCATTTTAAGATGTTCTCTTATTTTTAAAACTGGACCTTACACTAAATACTATCGACTCCGGAAAGTATTTATTACAGTGTCTTATTTGAACTGAACGATCAGAGTAATGAACGGTGAAGAAACCGTCAGATTGATACAACAATTGTTGTATGCACAAAAATATTAAATAAAAGTGGTATCCATAGAAATGGTATGCATAGATCCATTCTTATTTGTTTGAAAACTGATTATAGCATTGGTTTACACCAGCAGAGGCAAAAGATTATGAAAAAAGAGGGCTCAAACTATAAAGAAGGCCACCGTACATTATGCAAAGCGCGTCAAACTCTATATTGCACAGCGTTCCCACAAGACGGCGCTGGTTGTACTCGGTGCTAACTTGGCCTCGAAAACAAGGAATAGGTTTTGGTCAACATACGACGAAGTTGAATGGATCAATGGGCAAATAAGCTAGAAGTCAGAAATTTTCTGTTGTTTGGGACCTCTTGGGGAAAAGGGCAATTCAGACGAAAAGGGGATACATGCCTCAAGTGCATCAATATACAGACGCTCTGGTTCACACGATATCTTAGAATATTCTCCAAGAAAGTACTGTACAATAGTTGAGAACTTGTAGTTTTTCGTAGTTGAATACTTTATCAAAAAATTTGTGGCATTTTTTCATTAATCCAGGCGAGCTGGATTAATGAAAATGCCACGAAGTACCATGAAATTCCAATCTTAAATCCTCGTCAGAAATAATTATAAAAATAATTTGAAGAATGTTAATCGCTCTTAACAACGAAATTGAAATTTGCGTAATTAACATCATAGATAAATAAAGATAATTACTGTTTACAGATAATAAGAATTGTTTCTTTACGTGTGCATTTAATTTGAATTATTCAGACAATGATTATTTTTATAGTGAAATAGCATCAAATGAAAACATTTAACAAGCTTTTTAATTTTTTACTTTTCAGATGTACGACAACTTTATAAGTATTGAAATAATTTGTCTCGTCAATCTTCCTTTATTGTTTAAGTTCAAGGTAATGTGTTCTACTTTAATTTATGATTTGTTTTAACATATAATTTATGCAAATAGAAAACAGTTTCATACTCGAATGAAATTAGCTATCAGCGAGTAAACTATTTTACTGAGAATGATTTTATTATTATTTCTATACAAATGCATACTTTATATCTGTAAGATTATAACGAAGAAAATGATGAATTAACTCTGCATTTGCTATATTTAAATAATATTGAATTACTGTACTTTTAAATTTTTCATAAGGAATGAAATTTCCTACGAGACACAACTTAGCATTGTACAAGATTTTTCTAATATGCACTAAAATATCATCGTATATGTTAAAAGTATAAGAATAAGAGTAATAAATCATACAGTTTAAAAACATATTTTATAACAACGCTAATACCTTATGTTTCTATATTTCACCTCATTTGATGTTAAACATATACGACAACATTTTTGAATTTTCTAATGTAGATAAGGCTTATAACATTAAGATCTTTACAAAACCAAATTTCCTTTCGTAAGAAAAGAAACTACGTTTATTAAAATCTCCATTTTTTTCTCTTCCAGGTAAACGATTTTATGAAAAGATTTGGAAAGAATCCAATTGGTATTTCCTGTGGTGGATTCTTTTACGTTAAGAGAAATTTTGTCATAAGAGTAAGTATTAATTAAGAATGATTATTACCAATAGTTCACGTAGCGAAAGACTAGACATGAGTCAGCTTGTGCTGGAAGGGTCTATGGCAGAAGATAGAGATGGAAGAAGACGTATGATTGAAGTGTGAGTAACGTTTCAATTCAGAGAAAGTGATAACATTTATTTAACAAAACAAAGCAAAAATATGATGATAGAGATGACATGGAAAAAAAAAAAATCAAAAACAGCTGAAAGAGATTAGATTAGTGTGTCCATCTCAAGGGGATAGCCGCATGTCTCTTTCCATCTCTTTCATTTGACATCCACCCTTAGCTCAGGATGATACATGTCGACATTCTCGCTGAGTGGGCTAAATATGCAATGCTTTTAATGGCAGAGAAGGTTGTTGAAAAACATAAAAACACTCACACATCTACAGAAATTCCCAAAAGTTTAATGAAATCCGATTCTTATTTCAGGTACTAAGTGCATTAGATTCCTTTTTTTCTTCTATCGTTGAAATCACTGGTGTATTGCAACGTGAAAACAAGTGTCTTGCGAAGTACGGAAACAGCACAAGAGCCACACCCAATGCAACTATCATAAATTAAGTTAATCGATTGATTAGGTAATAAAATTACAGAATTTTTAAAAACTTTCTGGTCATTATTATATATTTTTACTCTTAGAAGTCATGAAATGAAGAACGTTTCATTAAATTATAATTTCCAGGAATGTTCGAAGATAGAAAAGTAAGAAGTGAAGTTACAAACGTAGCATTAAGGATAGTATAAGTTTAATGGAATGTGGCAATGCAGCATGTGATCTGTCAAGGGTAGGGTGTTCTACGGGAAACTGGGCCATCATTTACGTATTAGACACGTGAAAAAAACTCCTAAACGTTTGATGGCAAGCCGCAACTTGGAGTGCAATAACTTTCTATTCTTTAAGGTCCATTTTCCCTATAAAATGTCGATATTCTTAATTACTACAGTAGCAGCGTAGTAGAGACGGGCAATCCAGTTGCACATCTAGAACTGAAATTGAACTGTTCCGAGTGGGGAACAATTCCGAAACTCAAAAACTACTTAGAATATGTTTTATGGAATGAAACCAGCGAATACAAAACAATATTTCTTTATGTGTAAATAGCTGAAGTAAAACATGAAATCATTTTACTCTCAATGTGATGTAACAAATAAAATGATATTTCTGATCGTCTTTCAATACTGTATATGTATATTTATTTATAACGAGCAGTTATTTATTGTGGCATTGTCACAATGTCGGGCTGCAATTTTTCCCATCTAGCAGCAAATATATGCTTTCCATCTGAAATTAGTACTGGGTTGCCCCTATACATCATACTTTTCGTTTAACATTAGAATCGTGCCTATCATCTACCTAACACCTTTCGGGGAAAAATTTTTAATTGAAATAACGTGACTTCGGGTTTGCATCGGGAGTTCTTTTATAGTTAATGGGTCTTTCTGTCCCTTTCTGGTCTCGTCTTTTATGTAAATCTGTTCCCGAGATTAAGAAAAGACTGACAGATGGACGGACGGGCGACAATGGGAATTTATAGGTCTGCAATTTTTACTTTTCTTGCTTTTGTAATAGAGGGAAAGTTCAGGATTTGTAGTTGTTTAGGATTACAATGGATAGGAAGATAGAAAGAGGTGTCATTTGTCTTATTTCGAGTAGGGTCGGACTTAATGAAAATTTTACTTATTATTTAGCATTTGCAAGTTTCTTTTCCTTTTGTAAAATTTTTGTCTGCCCTCAAAATTAAGCTTTTTGCTATTTTATAATAATTAACATTAAATTTTTAAAAATAAAGTATCATAACAACTAGTGTCATACGCAATTTTAAAATGTTTTTGTCGAGAAAATTTATGCAACTCGTTGCTAGATTTTTTCTAAATAAACTGGTAGATTTGCAAATATTTTAAAGAAAGAAGTAATATTGAAACAATGAAACTTCCATCTCAACGTTCGCAGCCGCAATTCTAAAATGAAAATTATGTATAATACAAAATCTTCCTGACTTAGATAATGAGGGTCAAAGACAGTTTTTCCTGTACATATTAAACAGGCCTGATGTATAACTCGTTATTTTTAGAAGTACAGTAAAACTGTTCATAAAGGAAATCTTTATAGAACGGAAAACTACCTAAACGAAAAAAAAATAATCGGTACGTGCGAGTCCGATTTACACGGGTATTAATACATTTTATTATTAAACGTTATTATATCCCAGAACATTTTCAAAAATTAGCTTAATTTTTTCAGAAATTCAAAAGTTCATGCAATATAGGAAACATTGAAATCGCCGAGTTTCCTGACATTGGGAAGAGCAAATTTTAATTGGTGTAATTACGTAAACTTGAAAGAATTTTCTAATAAAATACCTTCAAGTTTCAGAAAATCGTGCTGAATGAATGAACGCAAACGAAAGTTCGATATGTCATTCGGTTTTGTGGGATTAGAGCCCTGTGACAGTGCCCGACCGCATATAGTTAGCGGAACTGCGATCATGTTGGAATCTTGGAACTGGAAAATTCTTCCCTGCTTTGCATACAGTAAGGACTTGGCACTGTTAAACTTTTATTCGTTCTCTCACTTGAAAAACACCTTTGAAGTGAACACTTCTGTTCTGAAGATGGGCAGCGGGTGATCAAGTAGTGGCTGCATGCACAGAACTAGGGTTTCTCATTTCCCTGTATTTTGCTTGTCCCGGGATCCCGGGATAAAAGTGAACTGTTTCCCGGGATCCCGGGAAATCCCGGGATAGAATTAATTATTTTTAAGGTATACAAAATATCTTGAAATCAAATGATATAATTATTTTCCATTTTTTAAAGTAATTTTAAAGTTTTGTANATTTATCTATGCCACAGTTTTCCACTAGTTAAACTGTCAGGTATGGCAAATGATATCCATGTGGAAAAATAGGACGTTTCCAATACATTTTGTGCTGTAACTTGTTTACTTTGTGAAAAAAGCAATAGGAAAACATTTTTCAACTCTCCCTTGTTTTTTTAATTGTTATTAGGCTTTCTTCTATTATAAAATTACGTTAATTCTGGAAGATCTGTACAACAATAGAATGCAATTTAAGATTTTCTTTTACAAGTTTAACGTGACTTCTTTAAAACGTGTTAAATAATCATCACTATTAAAATCGAAATAAACAACACACGCATCATTGTATATACGTAATATATTTATATATAACATATAAAAATATATATAAAATCCAAAATTACATACAAGTATATAAAAAAAAAACATTAAGTAGAAAATATATCATTTCTGAGATGTACACAGAGACGACTAAGTGCCAAAAAAGAATCAAAAAATATAACTTAAATATATTATACAATATAAATTTTCAACTGATCTTGTCGGAATGACATTTGCGCTTCTTGCAAGATACGCATCCGTGGGCCCATGGGTATTCCTATTTTTTGAAGTCTGTCTTCTGTTAAATATGGAAGTTCCATTATACCGATCTTTTCCAATTCGAATTGCGGGGCATATTTCTGTAAAATAAAAAATAATAAAAAAATCAGTTCAAAATATATACTTATGTAAGATAATACAGGGTGCCCCGTAAATCTGAACGACAGGAAATTTTGCCTTTTGTTTGCAACACGAGATTTGGGCGATCTGATGTCTCCCGGGAAGACTTTCTATGGGAACTGGCTCCTATTTACGTATTACCAACGTAAAGAAAACCCCGAAAACTCCACGTGGCCAACCCTTTGGACAGACGCGAACCCACGACCTATCAGTGTTTAATGGTTTTATCCTGGTAGGAGAAATTTCATCTTCACAAAGTGGCGGATACTTTCAGTAGATTCTGTGATCGTATGCTGCTTCGTGGGTAATTTTCCTTTTCCCACAGTAAAGGAAAATAATGAACAGAACACAGTAAAGTCTAATTGTCAGTCTTTTAACCCAGAGCACTGTCTCTGACACAATATGTTTTTTTGTATAATTCTTTCTCTCTTGGTTCTACATTAGGTTTTGAATGTATTTAGAAAACCGGAAAAGTACTACATTTTTGAATTGTTTGTTGTTAAAATATGAAGCTCTGTATAGATTATAGGTTCATCGAAAACAAATTTTTATATGAGAACGAACCACAATTTACATGTAGGAATTTAATAAAGGAAACACTACTTATCCAAAGATTTAAAGATCTAAAGGACTAAAAACACTACTAATCTTTAGATTAGTAGTGCTTTTATTCCTCTATTCCATGAAGCAGAGAATATTTGTTGAAAGAACCATATTTACTTAAAAGGAAGAGGATACACCTCGCAATTAGTCTATACTTTCTACCTTCGGTGGCACCTCTCACAAAGCAAAAAAGAAACACCTAGGTAATTGAAATCTCTCTAGCAAAGAAAGTTTCTCATTGAAAAGTAAGTTACTTTAATCCTAAAAAAGAGCGCTTCTTGTTTCTATGATGTGAGAATAGGAAGATTTTCTATCTGGTAATCCAACATCACGGTCGTAACATAAAATAAAGGGTGGAACTTACGTTATGACCTTTTGTCGAATATACAGGAATAACTTGCGTCATTTGTGGTAAATAATTAGCATTTCGACAAAGTAACTAACATTTGCATGAAAAAGGCTTCCTGTATATTCATAATCTATGTTGTTCAAAACACCAAGAAATGCACACCCCGCCCCTGTATTTCCGTCGAAATTGAAATAATAAACCAAAATCAAGCTATGATTTTTCGATTGATTCTTAGAATGCAAGCATAGTGCAGTAAAAGTATCACCCCTCATCTAAGAAGGGGTGATTCTTTTATTGCACTATGCTTACTATCTGAAAATATTATAAGGATTAAATTCGCATGGAATTATTTTTATATTATAATAGAAAAATTACGATGCATTGTGCTGAAAATAAATTTATATTATCTGTCAATATTTTCGAATTATGCTGTTGCATTCAATCATTTTAATAATAAAATTACTAGTAAGTTGTTTAGTAACAAAGCAAATTAGTTAAAGATTATATTTGTACTTTTTCAAGTAATAAGTAATATTTATCTGAATATAATAATCGATATTTTATCATCATACGAATACAGAAATAAATAAATAAATACTTACTTCATAACCAAGCTTCTTCAGAAATTGCCTTAAGAGAGGAGGTTCATCTCCAAAAAATCTAACAGAAAATTTAAAAATTAAACTGTAAATTAAGTTTAATTAAAAGTTATATTAAATTTTTAGATGTTTAAAAGTTATGAAGTGATTAAATTAAACGCTATGCCTAGAGATTCTTGTAAATAACGTACAGTACATGCTATAATGTTCTATGCGTATCGTTGTGTTTATAATTAAGGTGACAGCCTACCGCTCTGGAGGGCCCGAGCTCGAAAAACCCCAGGAATTTTTCAGAAGTGATCCTTCCGGATACGTCGGACCCCATCCCTTACCATCCAGTTGCCCAATTGTGGGCCTAGCCGAACTTATAACGGGCTTGCTTAGTGTTTACAGGGCTAAAAGAGTTTTAAAACAATGCCACTTTGTCTTATTTTGTCACACTATTTTTTATGTAATTATTAACAACGATATAATATACCCGCTTCTTAAGTTAAATCGAGTCTGCCATTGAAAGAAAATTGCAATTAAACAAGAAATTCAGGTCAAAAAATGAAGTGTCTTATTACTTCTAAGTTATAAAAGAATGATTAAATTTTATTCGTTCTAGATTTTAAAATACTGTAGAAGGTGAATAAGAATTAAAGTTTCTCGTGCAATTTATTATTTAAAAAGCCAGGAAAGTCTATTTTAGACTTTAGCAAAAAATAAAAATAAAAAACGGCCTTATATTTTCTAATTTTCATATCTTATATCTTAGAATACTTTTTTCAAGAAATACAGTAGAGTCTCTATAGTCCTGCAGAGTGTCGGATTACTGGACGACACGTCCGGTAATCCTCTGCAGGGAGGTTCTCATGAAATTTTCATGTTATTACTTGTCGATGAATAATGCAACAGAGATTGATGTACTGTACAGTACGTGTATACTGTCAGTCGCTAGTTGTTTGTTGTACGGTACGTGCGATTGGCAATCATCATTAATGTGATAAAGTAACCTGTGAATCAAGTGCGTTATTTTATTGTACAATACGTACTGTACATACAAAACCCAGTAATCCGACATCTGCCAGACATACGTCGGATTACTCCACTGTTACAAAAAAGAATGTGAAAAATGAATTTCAAGAACAAATTTATCGTTATTCTTTTTAGCCGGTGAAAGTTAATGAAACGAAAATTATAGCTCGGAGAAAACTGCTTCGTTCAGAATTAGTTTCTTGTTTTATATTATTTCCATATTCTTTAATAAATGCCTCTTATATAGGCGATTTAAAATTACATTGAAGACTTGGAAATTGGTTTATACGAAGGCATTATAAAATTTAAAGTATGTTTTCATCGAAACAGAACATGCTTTTCCTTACAGAAATGTTTTCAATGTCTGCAAAATCGAAGGAGGAAAAACTATCAGTTGAGAGAATGAATCTTATAAACAATTTGAACCAGGATATTTTTCTCTCATTCTTGCTGGCCAAGACCTAATATGAAAATAATTGAAGCCATAAATCCTCTAGTGCAATATGGTCTTGCATCTAAAAATCAATCAAGGAAAATTAATTATCTGAACTATTATTACAGAAAATTTCCTGAGAATTTTGCAATTAAAAAATCAATAGATTAACGTTAAAACTCGTACTCTCTATATTAATTGAAAGAAAGTTTCAGTTTTTCCGACTTAGGTTGAGTAATTGAAAGAAAGTTTCAGTTTTTCCGACTTAGTTTGAGGCAGGGGCTAAAAGTACGGTTCGGGTATCAAATTAAAGCTCTTATCTTGTAGATGGTGCCACTGAAGAGAGATTTCAGAAAAGTGAAAAGATTCGGGTGTGACGAAGTGGCAAAGATACAATATTAAGTCTATGGGACAAATATGACCTTATCCCATTCCATATTAACTTTAGTCCGAGCAATTTTGTTTTGTGTTTTGCAGTACTTTTATTGTTATAAATACTGATGTCAATATTTACTTACTAAGACCATTGTTTTTTTCACCGTCTCCCAACTCAGGGCTTTTGAGGGGATGAGAAATTGATGAGGTCATCAATTTCCCATCCCCTCAAAAGCCCTGATATTGGCAGATAGTTTCTTTTATTTTTATATAAATTATTGTTTATACTTGAAATATAAGCACTAGTATGTAAATGGTTTTGATTTTTGGTCTCTCTTGCAGAAAATAAATACAGTAAAACTTCTCTAAAGAAATATATATACTGTGTATTTACTAAATTATAAATGAAATTTTTCTTTATAATAAATCTATTAAAAATAAATTTATTTTACTTCAAATAAACTTTAATTATTAAAATACAATTAATTTCCTAGTTTTTTTAAATACTAGATTACTTACTTTGTAAGTTTTTGAACCCTTCCGGGACTGATTAACTCTAAAATTTCTTTTCTTAATCTGTCCCAATCTTTACTTTGCGATGTGCTGTGATGCCCTTTACTCGACCTCACGTGATTTTCGGTAGTAGTGCCACCCGAAGAAGATAACCGAACTAACTGCAACTGCTCCTGAACCCAACCGACATCTCTTCTTAAGCTATCTAATTCTTGTATCAACATCTGTTGAGTTCTCATTTCTGAAGACAAATGTGCAATGCTTCTAGCCAGTGTTATCACGTGAGATTCTAACCGTTGTAACCTCTTGCTAGCACTAAAACAGTTAAAAAATCAATATATTGTTTAGGAATAATCAAGTGGAATGTTAAATTCTGATGTAAAGTATACCAAGATTTGGAATCTTTCGATTTTCTTCTATCAGTATAGCCTCTTTTATCACGGAAACTGTGTGTACCTCTGCTTACGGAGCTTCTTCCAGTAAGTGATGATAAACTTCCATATACCCTTCTTCTAGATGGACGAAACAATTCCGAACTCGTTCGAGAATTTGTTGCATTGCAATTTGTTGGTTTCACACCCAATATACGAAGAATCTACATGAAAATTTTCATAATCTTAATAAAAATTAAATTTATTGGATCTAATCAATATTTTAATAATTAGACTAACTTCTGAGTACATGAGTTCTAATCCCTCTAATTGTTTTCGTATAACAGCAACTTCTGTATTGTCTAGATTACTCGTTGTAGCGCTACATTCGCTACTGTAATCGTCTGGTTCGTCTAATAAACTGTCCATATCCAATCCAGTAGTTGTAGAAGTCATGTCTGCATCTACGGACTCCGCATAAATAGGGCCTAGAAAAAAAGAAATTTGGTGTACATTTAAAATATATAGGTAAATAATTTAAGAAATGTAAAAGTATAATTTTCTCTTGCATCTTTCTGCAAAAGGATCTGTCATTGACAGCTGCTGTATGCGTCCCTTATCTCGTATAATGTATACCTCTCCGCGTAACAATTGAATGTGTAGGGTGCTGGGAAACTCTCTTCTGTCTCTCGTCGACGTCCGGAGGATCCGGCAATTAGGAACCTCGAAATTCGGCGAGACACCCAATCGCCACTTTCGTTAATGCGGCAGTTGGAGTGCTTGCATTCCTAACATATAATGCGTACCCCTGCAAAGTGCGGTTGGAAGGGTGTGAGGGACCCCCTACGACGAAGACCCCCGAAATCAGGCGATACACCTCCATACAAAGATTGACACAGATATTTTTTGCAAAGATAAGTAACGAGAACATTTGAAATTAAACACTTTAGTTTGCTTGAGAAGCAATAATTAAATATAAAATAAATATAAATTTATTTAATTATCTGTATCATAGTACAATTTTCAGTGTTTNTTTATTCTCTGTTATATTCTGTACAAGTAAATACTGTACATGTACAGTACAGTATTTTCTGAGGAAATACTCGTACTTATTTTTTTTAACCCCATTCCCGATAACTCGGCATTTTCACAAACTCGGCCACCCTTCGGTCCACATTAGGTCGAGTTTTCGAGGTTCTACTGTACTGTATTTTCATCTTGAAGAAAAATAATAAATATAAACATGGCCGACGGTATTTTCATCTGTTTTCATCGAATGTATTTTCATCTGTTTTTATTAGACAACCGTATTCTAATTTCTTTTATTCTTCAATTATTGCAGATTTTATAAAATAAATAAAGAATATAAACTGAATAAAAGCAATAAGATGCCTGCTTCTATTCCTTTATTTTATTTGTTGAGTGTGACTTGTCTACTTGTAACTTTCTTTTTTAATTTGGACTTTTTACATTGAAGGCAGTGAACCCACACAAATTCGTATTAAAAGAAACCTTTATTATAATCTTAACCTGTATGCTATTACTTAATGCTATAATGGCATAATTTAAAACAATGTTTTTGAATGTCTGTACCGAACATGTTGAGAGGTACAACGTAGCTGGGTCAGGGCATAAATTTATATAAATTAATTTTTAATGTGATTGTATAAATTAATATGCAATTTTTAATTTAGAATTTGTAACTTCTGAAGAGGAACTTTGGCTCGAAATGCTAAAAAGTAGTAGCTTACAGGTTAAGGTTATAATAAAGTTTTTTAATACGAATTTGTGTGGGTCCACTCCCTTCGATATAACAAGTCCTAGTTTAAAAGGCCCACCGATGCCCGAGTGGATTAAACCACAGAGAACTGAACATTGGAAGCGGGTTCGCGCCTCACCTTACCTTATGTTAGTAACACCTAAATAGGGACAAAAGACCTCCCGTGAGGTACATCCCCTCTGCAGATCGTCCATATGTCGCGTTGCAGTATACAAGTACAACCAAACCAAACAAAATCTAGTTAACAAGAAAGTCCAAGTAGACAAGTTGTACTCAACATGAATAAAAATGGTTCCATATTGGATGAAAGCTAAGAATATTATGAAGCTAATAATTATACAATTGAAAAGGAAAAAAAAAATAATTTACCTAATGATATTTTTGAAGATCGAACTCTTGGTGAAAGACGACCACTTTTGGTGCAATGGCCACTTTGATTGCTGAGGTTTGCTCCTATCATTCCTTGTCTATAAGAAGAACACATGCCAGAACGAGTACAAGGTTTATTTCTCATTTCCCAGAGCTTTGTTGGAGATTGAGATGTGGAACTCATGGATTTTCTGTTTTTTGAGGAACTCGATATATCTTGTCTGGAATCAGATATTGTAGATTTCTTTATGTAATCTTGACCGCCTTGCTCGATATTTGAGGGATTCAACATTGTGCTACTACAAAATACATTTTTAGTATTGTTCCACGATAATAATAGTTTAGAAAATAACAAACTTACCTCATAGAATGATGATATTTTGATTCTGGTGAAAGACATCTTCCGATTTCTGGGGTGTGAGGAGGCGATAGAGGAGGAAGGGGCGGTGTAATAGAAAAGCTTTCACTGCAAGTACCGTCGGTTTGCAAATTTACTATAGCATTTGCTTTAACGACAGCTTCTAATTTGTGGCTTTTGCGGTTCCCATTCGTGCTCTGATCAGAATCTAAGCTGCTGTCTAAAATGCTATCTACTGTACTGGGTCCACTGCTCTTTGCACCCGTTGGACTTTTGCTACCCATGATTCCACTATGCATAGTTCCTCTACCAGATTCTGAAGAACTCTTGTACTGTTCGCTCGAAGTATCCGTAGAATCGCGTAAAATATCCGGTTGAAAATAGCCCTCTTGAGTCTTGATCTTATTTTCAACCTCATTGATTCTTTCCTGATAACATCTTAAATTTCTTACAGAATGATAAGGCCCTTCTGAAGATGCAATGGAGGGTTGATCTTTAATTTCCTTTTCTTGTAATCGTGCAGCTGCACAATAGGGTAGATGTTTATAAGGGCTATTTTTATCGTCCTGATTACTTTTCCCTATAGAACTCTTTGGTAATATTTTATCATAGTTGTAAGTCGTTGTCATGTTATGTGACATATTTTCATAATTAGTCTAAAAAAATTTGTATATTTTAGCAAATATATTAATTATTCAGCAACAAATATAATACTTTTACTTACTCTGCTCATTAAATAATCACTCCAGCAAAGATTCTGTGTATCAACACTATTAGTTATCACTTTGTCCAAAACATTTGAAGAATTCTCATTGGATTCAACGATATTCTGGCGAAGTATTCTATTTATTCGTATTAAAAATCATTTTAGCATAAAAATTTTTGGGTAATTTTTAATATATATATAAATTTTTTTTAATCGAAAACAAATATTTTAACACCTTCCGTCTTCATTATCATTCGACGAGGTTGTCCCTTGTCTACTTCTACATCCTCCACCAGAAACGTTTATGATTTGTCCTCCTGTTTCATGTTTATCCGTGATGCTCCCTGGAATATCCGTTTCCGTTATCCTCTAGAAAATTACACACACAACATTATTTACAACTTACTTTCTCTAAATAAAAATATATGTATGATACATTAAATAACACGCAATACATGTGTTCGTGTTGGCTTCTATTTCGCTTAATATATCAAGGTGAGGTAAGGATTAAAAAACCAAATTTGGCTTGGTGGCTTGTATATGAGGGACATTGATGCTATTAAATTTTGGTGGCGTAAGGTCGAGAGGATGGAGAGATAGAAGGAGGTCATGTGTCTCGAGAGGAGTAGGACTTAATGACGAATAAAATCTCCATTAACATTCTTATAAAACTCACCCTTACCCTCAAAATTAAGTTTTTTTGCCATTTTATAATAATTAAAAATATATAAAGTTTTAATAGCAAAATCTGATAACAGATTGCGCCACGTACAATTTTATTTATTTTTTTTAATAATAGAAGTCATATATTTCTGTATATTTTAATAGTTCAATATATATTATCATATGCAATTCTTAAATTATTAATTCTCTAACTAAAACATCCCCCGAAATGTTCCCCCTCACTATTCGTGTACAGTAATTCCTCCATTTATGCGAATTCACTTTAATAGGGTTGAAAAATTTTTAAATAATTAACTTTATGGGAATAAACTATAGTTAAAATATAGAAAAAAGCTGCAATGTTAAATCACATTTTAATTTAAATTTAAAAGTTTGAATTGAAATCTCGTGACTTCTGGTATATAATTCGTTCGTATATAATTAATCCAAGCCTATTGTCCCTAAGCTTCCCTTACCTGATCTCGATTTCCAACTACTGTATATAATTACTTTCTCGTGATTAACGAAGGAGAGACAAGCAGACATGCGGACGGACGACAGTGGGAATGTATAGGTCTGCAAGAACCTATTTAGTCGCTGTTTTCATGGAACCAATTACTATATTTGGGCTATCATTTTCAAATTGCGGACCTATACATTTTCATTGTCGTACGTCTGTCCGTCTGTCTTTCGTTAATCTCAAGAACGGAATTAGATAGATAAAGATTCGGAGCGGTAATTAATCCTTACTAGTTAAAAATAATAATAATAAAATAAGGAATAAGTTACATGTGACATCTTGTTTAATGACATCATTAATATCTGATAATTGGCTTCGATAGTAGTTAATTAAAATAATTAAGCGTGGAACTTAAATATTAAACCTTTAAAATAAGCTGATTTAATCAAGATTTTTCGCATTCAATGAATAATATTCAGAGGAATATATTGATTGATAAGGGGGCAATAACCAATTCTCTGAAAATTCGTGGAAGATTCGTTTCTATTTAATTTTTTTCTTCTTAATTCCAAGTTTCTCACACGCATTGATTAGTACAGGTACTCAGAAGTCTCTGGTGAATATTCACGAATCAATGAACCTGATCATTCAGAAAAAAAAAAAGAGAAAAGAAAAAAAAATCACATTAATTAAATTTTTTTAAAGTCACTGGGCCAATGGTGAATCCATCTCAATTAACGTGACTTGTCTAATATACATTAAAAACACATTCTGGATTTTTTTTCCTACTGATTAAAGGTAAATTACCGTAATAAATTACTTGGGATAATCTGATAATATTACGTATGAAGTGTAGCGGATATCTCGATTATATGATACATTCCTTTCCAGAAGAATTCGCGTCATAAAGATTAAATATAATGGATGGTAATAAACGTAATGAATTTTCCTTTAATTTAATGACTATTTTTTTTCGTTTAAGGATCTGTATTTAATGTAAAATTTGATCAACTGTTTTGATCTTACATATTTTAATTGTTAAGCCAGCAATTGTTTATTGTGACGTCGTCAGAATTCGGGAGCTACAATTTGTAATCACGTGACTTCTGGCCCCTTATCTTTCTTTATCTGGTCTCGATTTTTGTCTACTTAACTACGTTCTCGAGATTAACAAAGGACAGACATACTGACGACCTAATTAACGTGTTGAGTGATAGAGTTTAGTAATGAGCATATTAAACTCTAACACTTAAATCGATTGAATAAAGCTATAAATTATGAAACAGAACAATTATGGTTCACTTTTAAACAAGAAAATGCTTTTGTTGAGCTCGAATGCACATTTCTAAAGCTTATTTTTGTCTTTGCTGCGTGGAAATGTTTACAAAACGAATGTTAAACAGACCAAAAACTGTAGAAAATCTTCTGTTCGGGAAGAAATGAGTTTCCTCCTCCTTAAATTACCCTTAAACTTTCTAACAATGGTTCTACCTTAACTCAGTTTTCATTTTAATTCATAAGAATTGCAAGTGTATTTACACAAACTTAAAATGTGTTACAGGGGAGAGCTGTGTAATTCCAGCCACAAAACACATCATTGTCTTTTCACGTGTATTACGTAAGCAGAGTTAAATAGTTGTCACCTATAATTTTTAATATTGTACTAAAAGAAAATAAGGTCACCCTATATAATGAAGATAGTCGAGGAGAGATATTGATTAAGGGGGAGATATTGATTGAAGGGTCTGTTTGTGGGTCTGCTCAATACTCGATTTAACGTTGAATGGGGGTAATTCCAAGAATATTGTAGTAAGTGCCATTGACTTTCATACATTTTTGGAAGCAGATTGCTCTGAAAATTTTATTGATTACTTAAATTCTATGAGTTATTTGGATTACTACTATTTCCTGTGTGCAAAGATCAAAAGGAATGCTTTGCTTTGATTTACCTCTTGCATGAAATAACCTCATATTCCCTTAAATAAAAGTAAAATTGAATAAAATCATTACTACAGATGAAATCAAACATAAACCATGCAGAAAATATGCATAAAATTAATGGATAAATTTATAAGAGTCTCCTTTAAACTTGATTTTTCAACATTCAATAATGAAAATTAGTTAATTAAAAGCATTTATAGTAATAAATCAAGAGTCGAAATGAGTGAAATATAGCTAAAAACATTATTTTTCAGTAAATATTGTTTAAAATATTTAGCAAAATTTCACTCACCACGTCACTAACGGATGTTGCCAATGCAGGATTGTCGACACCATCCCCTTTAGAAACTGAAGGCAACAATAATTTGTCAGACTCAGCTTCCTGCTAAAAAAAAGAAAGAGAAAGAAAATGTGCAAATAAATGAAATGACAAAGATTAAAACTAGTTTGTTTCTAAACCTTTACAAAATTCTCCTAATTCCAATTAGACCTAAATCCAATTATGAATCCAAAATCACGTTACAGAATCCTTTCAGAGGAGGACACCTTTCTCCTCATTATCGTCATTATTATTCTTACTTTTAAATATATGGCATAAATTTAATAAGAAAACAAGCGAAAATTGAAGGTCAATGTCCTATTTTTCATTAAATTTTTCTCTACACTTAACAAAGTTTTGTATGAATTTCATTTAGTTTCTGAGAAAATCAATTAAAAAGTAATGTAAGAGATTATTTACACAAAATAAATATTTGTTTTTTTAGCTGGAAAAAGCAATTATAAATTAAATTAAACTGAATAAACATCTGTTTGGTAAGTTAAAATGCCTGGACTCCATTTTATTATCAGTCCAGAGAATTTCTAAGTTACAGCTACGTGTAATGATATGAATGCAAGTACCACATTTAATCAAAATTTTACACAAATTTTTAAAAATTATCCTCAATCAATTGCCAAAACACCATTTTTTTTTTTTTTTTTTTTTAATTTTTCTACTTTTTTCCACATTGATTATCAAGAAGAAACATGTTGAAATGACTCAGAAAATCAGTTGTAAGCTTACAAGTAGGGCTTAGAATTAATATAAAACATTTGGAGACATACATTCTACAACTGTTTATGAATTAAGTTATGAAGAAAAATCCCTACTGAGACACGAAATATAATTTCCTATTCGCTTATAAAAAAAAAGTAGATTTAAATATAAAATAATGCTTATCTCACGTAGGTTAAACAAGACAATATTTCTTAAGATCTTAGAAAATTTATCAGCACTATGCTTAAAATTCTAAACAGGACACGTTCTTTAAACGAGTTAATCGTAAGTGAATCCCTATTTCACATGCGACATTTTGTTTTTTTTCCTCCCTCCTTTACAACGAAGAAGGATTCTACAAAAAAATCTAACAGTGATAAATCACTTACCTGAGGTCTATCTGTTTTCCTTACATTCGATGTAGTGGATGGATGAAGAAAAGATTTAATTCTTTGTTGAAGAGAACTGACCGATTTGAAGGTCGTCTAAAATTGAAAAGAGTTAACGTCAATGACATACATTCACATCGATTAACAAGTAGAAAGATGTCAAGCTGTGTCTGTATTTAAATTTATATAATAATAATAAATTTCTATTTTCTGTCTTAAATACCAATTAATTATTCAAACAAATTTCTGTCATTCTAACAAATCTATGTAGTCTACATTAAAATCATGTACAAAATCTGTGATGTCGATATTAAATTACGTAGACTTTCTATAACAAAGAGACATGTTTCGGTTATTTTTCTATACTTTGAAATGAAATTACTTGGATAAAATAAGATGACAACGTTATTACTGGACTTTCTTGGCATTTATTTTCATTTCTAGTAATTGCTACCATTACTTTTAAGCCTTCAGATTGGTTCGGGAGATATTAAGAAGAGGAGGCCGTATCTCTCGAACCAATTGTTTGATTTTTCTGAAAATTTCTAGAAACATTTCCTTTTAATACACGAACCATCCTGCAAAATTTTATAAATTTTGGACAAAAGATACAGGAGTTATTAAGTTTCAAAGTGGGTGAAAAAATCGTCCTCCCTCCCAAACACACTAATATCCATACATACAAAAAAAAAGTTATTGCATTTCTCTTGTTTCAACAATCCTCAAGTCCAAAAATGTAAAAATCTTGGAAGGAAGAGTTTTTTTTTTGACCGATTGCCATACTTTCCCTCTATTACATAACAGTCGGGAAGTAAAATATATTAATTAATATTTACTTCTTGACCTTTTCCATTTCTTTTTATTAAAAATAGAACATATTAATTAATTAATCTTACTTTCTGTTCCTCAATCCATGCTTGTGTTCTACAAGTTGGTATTTCTGAATCGTTGCAGTTCTGTTCTAAATCACCATTCTGGCAGAATTTAAATCCTTGAGACAACTTTGAAATTCCCAAAGAAGTAGGATTTGAATCGATTAATCGTCCCGCACTTGCAGCTTGGGTTGTTGTTGATGATGACGATGATCCCAGTTCCTAAATGTATTCATTATACATCGTTTAACAGTTTGAAATGTGTTACTTACACTTAAATAAAGCACACTTACAGCCTCCTGTCCATTTTTAGACAGTTCAGAAGTCTCTGGAGGAGCAGGAGAAGGACATCGACCTCTCGTTACAAGTGAATGCCTCAGCCCATTACTGGCTCCAAAAGGATAAGGTGGTGCTCTATACGGTGGAGGGCCTGACGATGGTTTAGGAGGTAACAAGGGTCTGGGAGAATACTGGCTGTTGGACAGATCTGGTTGACCAGCTATAAACAATAGATGAAACCATCTGTAACTATCCACTAATGATTTTTTCTTTGTGACTATTCTTAGTTCATTATCGTAAAATTTAAGAATTAACAGTTGTGACTTATAATAGAACAGTTGTGACTAAATATTCTTTAACCGTTTAAAATATATATAAATTTAAATATTGTATAATTTTATTTACCACAACGTCCTTGTGCGACTATTGATGTATCGACTTTTTCAGTCCTTGGAAATCCATTTTTCCAATTAGAAGAAGTGGCATTATCCGAATTGCCTCCAGCATTCTGTGCAGCTTGCTGTAAATATTGAAATTAATTTAATATTTCCTCACAAAACTCATAATCTAACACCTAAATAATTATATAGAATTAATTAATTCTTAAAAAAAATGATAAGTTTTACTGTTCGTTCTAGATCATTATGCAGTTGTTACATTGTTTAGAGAATTAATTTAGGCAATTTTTAATATAGTATTTAAATTTTTTTTAACCTTTCGAAGCTATTTTTAACCTCTATACATCATATTGATTGATAGTAATGATTTAAAAAAATGAAATGATAATAATAAACGCACTTTTAAACAATCGAACGAGATCAAAATACCAACAGGAGTGACAGAAATAACTCTAGAAAAAAAAAAAGAAATATCCTTTGATTCACTCGATGTCAGCGACCTAAAACATTACAGTAATAATAATAATAATAGCATAAAAAATAAAAGAATAGCTTAATAACGTACACGTTCGAGTTACATTCATGTTCATAATTTCGATCAGATACGTCAAGAAGCGTATCATTCGAGGACAATACTGCATTTGTTACTTAAATTATACAATTAACTTTAAGGAATTTCATTATAAAATTCTTTTTTCACAAACGAATTTATAATATAAATTGCAATTTCACAATATAAACTGCCGATATTCGACTGTAACTTTCAAAATTGGGACAATAACACTAGCGTATTATCATCTTACACTTGTTACACGAATTACTCGCTGTATATTGTCTGACAGCATCTGGTATCAAGTAAGGGTCACTGGAACTTCCGTGCTTTCCGAAACACGAAAACGTGATTGTTATTGATGTAAAGTCGTGAATAATTTCAATTGGTTACATCAAAAAAACACGTGTATACGCGTATACATAACTTCACAAAACGTCATTAATAATTACACATTTATGTATTTAACGAAGGAAGATATCCAGTGAAATGTAAAATTATTTTGATCGAAAATCATCGTATTTTAACAAAATTAAATCACACCTGATAGTTTACTTCGGCGATAATGATACCAGATGATGATTATCACGTATAGTAGCAGGTGTCATGTATTTAAGACATGATTTGGCCTCCATGCTCCCGGTATGATGAAACCACAGTTTCATCACGGCTATTCTAAGCAACTAACATGGCAAATTAAACGTTTAAATTTATGTAAATGACACAAAGGAATGGATTTTCTTTGAACTAGAATTTAAAAAAAAAATCCCTAAACTACCGATCTTACCTGCGTTTCTTCCATAACAAGCATCTAGTGTAGAATGAAGAGGATGGCACAATAGCCTTTCACTGCTACAACTATTGTATTACAGACATGAAGTCTGTCACACGATATAACCAGTCCTGCAACCGTAATCAATGAAGAAGGGTTTTAAAATATATCGGCGTGGGATACAAACTGAATCACAGTTGGCTTTTCCTTCCGACCCAATTATTATACGAACGTCCATATCAAGTCACGAAGCCCTTAAATAAAAAAAAAAAAAGAAAAGAAAAATGTCTCCCCCCCTCTTCGAGCTGGAACTAATTCTGTTGTGAATACTTACACCGGATACGTAATGCGTCCTTCGAAACGATAATTTATATAGAAAATTGTCCTAGAATTATTTAAATTACGATTAAATGCGCCAACTTAGAATTCTTCTTACGAGTTTTATAAATATGATCCTTTAAAGACTGAATTATAATGATATTTTTATCATAGATCCGGGTTCAAACTGTTTAAGATACTCAATCCAACATACAAACGGACGGTTGGTGCCATTACATTAACCATTTTCAAACGGTCAATTGAGATAATTTAGAGAAAAAAAACCTTGTAAAAATTTAATTTATACAATAGAAAAAGTGGAAAATACCTCAAACTTTAAGCAGATTATTTTGTTTAGTTTACAAAAAAGCAAGAATTACAAGCAGAAATCCTGTAAATTCTAAGTTATAGAGCAATAATTTAGATTTAAAAAAGGGAGGAGGTCCTTCGATTTTTGTTTAAATTAACTAATTGACAAAGGGGAAGGATATAATTTTAAATAAGGAATAAATCTGCGGCACAGTTTGACTTCCTGAATGCCAGATTATTTATTTAAAATTTTAATTTCTGTTTTTCGGTGGGTTCAAATTCAATAAGGTTAAATACGGCGCCACAATTAGGGAGTGGCCCGTCTTTTTGTATCTAGAATAATTATTCTAAGTGGAAACACCCGACACTCAATAACCTTCAACATTTTATGTACTTTTTAAAAAGCATAAAAATTGACTTTCTGATTTATAACTTCAACTTTTCGATTATTAAAGTACAATTTATTGGTTCCTTTTTTCTTTACACATGAGAAATCTACCGAAGAAAATAAGTTTATGTGCTGAATAATAATTATAATTTTGGTATTTTGCATCCAATTAGCGGATTAACTTTTTCTTTTTCTCACAATTTCGTTCGAAGTATAAATTAATTTATTCTAAATTGCTTCTTCGACTAATAAAAATTTGCTAAGTTCGTATGCTGTGTCCATCCATTGCTCATTTTCTTGATCATTTTAATAAAAATAATTAATTAATTATAATGTATTGAATTTATTTATGACGATAAATGCCATTTTGTTTTATATGCAGGGTGACCCAAAAGTCGTTTAACCGTATCTTGCTTATAGTACCGGGTGCGGTCTTATCTGTTGAAAATAAGAGAGAGTGTTCTTACATGCTATTGACATACAACATATATACATATATATATATATATATAGATATACATACAAACACAATATGTGCTATTTTGGTTAAGGATACGATAAGAGAAGAGAATTGCCATTGTTGCATTGTTTTATTCGTTTATAAATACTGTACACAGCTTAATTAATTAGCGAATAATCAATGATTAATTTTGATTTTTTAAAAATATTTTTATGAATTAAATTTCATTTAAATCCATAAAGATGTTTTTTTTTTCTTAATGGAGAAGATTAAGAAAAAAAAATTGATAATTTTAAGTTTTATATTGTTAAATTTTAAAATAAAACTTATTAAGAATTATTTTTAAGAAGTTTATTGAGAAATATTTTCTAAATTTGGCTCTTTTGGAACTGCTGGATCTATTTCTGGCTCCCTTAAAGGGCTGCAAACAACTTTCTAAGGGATCCAAGTACAGACATGTTTATCGTTTGACTTCAAGATTAGAGGAGTTTATGATGTTTTTTCCTAATTACTTTCATGCTAATACTTTCACACTAATGCTAATAAATTAAAATTTCGTTAAAAAATATGTTGCAAAATATTCACTATAAAAATACATGTAAAAATCCGATTTTATACACGCATTTTTTACCTTAATTTCCTTAAATTTACGAGAACAATGTGTAAAAAATAAATATATATTTTTTTTCAAAATAATCCTTAAAAATTCTAAAATTCCTAAGGGCAAGTAGATGCAGCCAGACAAACAGGATTAACTTAGGGCAAGGACGTTGAATGGCCTCAATGTTATTATTGGTGTTGAAACTGAAAATCTCTAACGGGAGGATCGTGATCATCTCTTAACATCCGGATATGCTTCTCTTGTAACTAGGTGTGTCCTGTCCAGGAGAAAATTAGGCCACAAACTTCTTGAACAGGATATAGTACCTCATTTTACATTCTGTGAGAACATTTTCCTCTTCTTTCAGACCCCTATACTTATCAATTATTATTATTATTATGTTATAGTTTCTTGGTTATGGTTAAACTTGATGCACCTTTTATTTTCCTTCGAGGTATGAAGTTTCACTATTAATTAAAATCTCTACTATTTAATATAATTCTTCGAATTAAATTCTAAATTTATCGTTTTGTTAAGAAATTTATCTGGAATTTTTATTTTTGTATGTGAATTTTATGTCAAATCGAAGAAAAAATTGTAAATTTAGCCATAATAATAATAATAATAATAATCTAGCTATGATCCGAACCCGTGTCTTTCCAGTATGATCTAAATATACTGACCCTTAAGATGTTGAATAAGTATATTTTTTTTACTTTATTCGGAGGATCCTATCCTATATGTGTATATAATTCTTAACTTTATCCATTGTACTGTGGGATCTGAACTCTTATCTCCCAACATAATTGTTAATTTTTACTCCATTACGCTGTTGTATCCGAATCCTTATTAATAAGAGAGTTTCGTTTGAAGGCACGAGTTCAGATCTTCAGATCTCACTTAAGATCGAATTTATCTTTACTGTTTTCAAGGGTAATTCAACTTAAACTACTCAGAGCAGAAACCTTTAAATGGAGGACCAGAAAACAAGAAATTATATTTTTCTACTCCATAAACATAAATTTCGTTTGTAAAAGTGTCGGAACGTAATCCTGTGATCACACACCAACTCTTAAGTACAGTACATATAAAACAACATTCCCAGACTCATTCTTGTTCCATGTCAACAAGTTCTTTACATGCTATTCATGTTATATTTTAATATTCCACTAAAGCAAACAGGTTCTTATCGATTAAAAAAAAAGGAAACAAAAGAAATTAACAAGGATAATTTAAATTCGTTTATTGTTTGTCACTCATTAATAACCTAATTAAACTTTATAACGACGTGATCACACGCGATCACATAATATTTGTAATGCATTCACCTCTGACCCTGTACTGTATATATATATTTAAATTAATTAAAAACCCTACAATATATATATATTTTTTTTAAAATTAAATAAGAATTTTACAACAATTTTGCAATTATAAACGTCAACTTTAGAACTCGAAAATTAAATAAAAAAATTGAGAAGAAACTACTCGAAAAGAACAACTCTTACGAACCTTTTTTTAGAGATAGATATACAATTATTAACTCAGTTAAAGAATTAATTAAGTTAATAAAATGTAACTTTATAGAAGACATATAAAAAAACGCAACAGAACAAGCGAAGCAACGAAGTGGCAAAGTATCAGAATGGACATTTCTTACCTGGTGTAACCAGCGAGTGGTTCTCACACCAACCACGAACATACCTTCGACTGTAATGCTTTGT